ATCTAGAATACCCGACCGGTAAGCAGAAAGATTCAGTTTTAAAGTTCTTCTGCTGGATACCCAGATACCGCTCTAGAGGCAGAAACTGCGAACAGCATAGAGAAGGTGATGGCGCCGGCCGAGCTGGGTTAAGCAGTAGTTGCCCATGATGCCACACTGCCATCCCGGCTGACAAGCTTTCCTCTTGCATGCAAGAAAAGACCAAAGTATCTCCAAAATTACTATATATGTTAAACTGTAAGGCATTAAACGTTTACGTAGTTAACAGTCTGAATACTTCAAGTTTAGCACAAAAAGGCATGATCACACAGGCAAGCCTGGTGCATTACGGGTTAGGTTTGAATTTTCTTTTTTTTTGATCACAAGTGTTTTATCATCATGATGTTGATATTACTATTAATGGTAACTTTAGATCTGATGGCTGGGCAAGAAGCACACGTGTATAAGTATGCAGATCGCTCGCAATTATTCTATCAGTGCCAGATTACAATAACAATCAAAGAACCACAGACTGAATGCGCGCGGCCAAGTTGTCCCGAACCGCAAGGATTTGCGTCGCGAAAGCCTAGTAACACACCGTCTTTTCCATTTTCGTCTGCAAAAGCACTGAATTCCATTCGCGCAAATGCGAGAACCATACGACTTTTGAAAAAACGTTCAGCTGCTGTACAGGATAATTATAACACAATGGATGTACGCACTGACCTAAATACTATTGATATCATTACTGAGCAACCGGTAAATCTTCGTATTTTCTTAAATCATTCTAATGCAGTTACGGTAGCTTCAAATCACTAAAAATTTGATTAACAATAATTAATAATAACTGCGTCAATATTTCTGACAGGCCAGTTAATAGAACACGTCTTTTCTCGTCGTTGATGCAAGTGGCAACTTTCCTATTTTTTTCTGTTTTGGACTTTTATCATCCATTTAATACTACATAGCTTTTCGTACAAATCTCTTTACTGCACTGATGGCTTTAACTGTGTTGTTTTAACTGTTGTGCGAGTTCCATTTAGTTTTCTTCGTTGTTGCCTAGTCGCTTTTCAACTTTGCTACGCGACCAGCTGAGTTTTTTCTTGCCATGCACTGTTTTGGTGATATGGCTTTCACTGGGACAGACTGACAGTACTTCATTGGGAATGTGCTGCAGCTTGATGACACTTGCATGCGGCATCTTGCAGCTAGTTCATTCTGCCTTACAAGAACACAAATTGAATGAAGTGCCCTTGTTGCGTTATATTGATATATTTTTCCAATTCAAAGTAAGAAACACTTTTTTCTATCATTGAATTATCAGTATAACGGTGTAGTCCTGTACCGCTATCAGTTTGCTTCTAAGCAACACTCAAAAGCGAAATCATTTGATAGCTTTGTTAGCACATGGTTCTTGCTG